GCCTTGCTAAACTCACTACACGCAGGTGTCTTGCTAAACTCACTTCACACAGGTGCCTTGCTAAACTCACTACACGCAGGTGTCTTGCTAAACTCACTATACACAGGTGTTTTTCTATACTTACCCAAGCAGGTACTCTCTCACCACACTTAGTCACTCAGCATCTATCCATTTATTAGCAATGATTTCAATTAATTGGCGAACAGGAAGGATGGATTTAGCCCTGACTTCCATAAAGGCAAACTAGAATCCCATCATTTCCCATGTAAACCCCGCAATTGGCTGCTGCAGTACCCTAGCAGGTCCATATACAGCACGCATACGTTGGTATACTGCCATCTAGTGGACCACATGCAAGTTACACAAAGAGGGACCTGCAGACAGAGAACAAATGTGTTTCAACTATAAAATTAGAAGCGAACAACATAGTAAACTACCAGTTCATATCTTAGGATCTCTCAAGATCTTTACGGTCATTGATTTGGACTGAGCTCTGCGCTAAACTTTAAACACTACCAAGCCAAGCATAGCTCCAACCCTCTGAGAAAGCAGGGGAGTTAAGGGATCCCTCTAGGCGGCAGACGTTCACTCTACAACCAATCTTCTTCCTTCCTGTTTTCCTTCTACCAAGTGTTCCATGCGCGTGTTAGCAGTAGAGTGCTCTGAACCTCTTCTCAGCACGAAGGCTGCCCAATCCATGTGCTCAGGACGCTGTATGTTTTGTTCACTTTTTACTATCTCTTCTTTGTTTTAAGCAAACTAAGACCTAAGATTCACATCTTTTCCTGCTCTGCTCCATTTGGAGCCTCCGTACTTTGCTCTGGGTTAGAACCAGAACCTAAGGGGAGCTACTCACGTAGGGGTTTGTTTCTTAGGCTCTGATCTTTAGCTGAGGGATGGCTTTCCATTCTGTTTATATGACCACCAACAGTGATCGCTGTAGGCTTGGAAATACACTGAACATTTTACAGGGATCCTCTCATTTAATCCCATGAACTATTCCCGTCTGGAGTAAATACACACGACTCTCAACCTCCTGCCTCTCTGTAATCACACCCTGGATGGAGACAGGGATCCAGTCCTCAGGATTACATGTTACTAATACAACAGTCCCTGCTTGCTAAGAATGCTGAGCGGAAGAAACCACTGATGAGAAACAGGCCGGGGAAAGCACAAGGCTTGTTAAGTCGTTAAGTCTCAAGTTAGCACCAAAGCAGATGCAAATGCTCCCCACTCCAGCCAGATAAAAACAGTATTCAGTAATCACCGTCATCGTTCTGTTTTTCTGTCCTTAAGCGCACAGCTCTCAGTACTTTCTCTGAGTCTTGGTTTGCTGTGACCCTCTTTCCAAGTCTCGGGATTTTCTAATCCTCCCGTGGCTTTTCCTTTCACCCACTAATCCTTTAGCAGAATGTTTTCATTTCCACATGCACGGATTTCCCCCTTCATTCTGCTGCTGACTTCCCACTTAGCTCCACGATGGTCAGAGGAGGGCTCTGGGGATCAGTTTTGCTCAGGCTGGATGCCTCCAGAGAGCATGGGCAATTCTGGGTCAAGAATTAATCTAGAAAGCAGGAAGAAGCAAGTGCTCTAAAGATGTGACTGTTAATGCACCAGCATCAGTCGTATGAGCTAGGAGAGGGGACATTCAGTCACCGTCTGTGGCTTGCCCTCTCATTATAACAGGATTTCCAGGGATAGAAATATTAGAAAGTTATGAGATGCATAATTCACTGTTGCACAAAACTGCCCTATAGGCAACTAACATCCGTAGCTCTTACCCTGTCTAGGAGGCACCAGCTAACGAGACCCCCTGGAGAGTCTAAATCCAACTCCTGAGCCACATTAAAACAGTTGCACACTAAGAGCGAAGCAGCCTTCGGCCTTGCAGAATCATCTACCCAGTTTGTACTTACATGAATTAACTTCATCCCTTAAAAATAAATAAATAAATACCTGTCAGGATAAAAGGCTATTTGGCCTATTTGTTATGGGAATGATGCTAAGAGCCACCAAGTGTCAGTCGCCTTCTACCTAAAGATCCACATGAGGAATATGGCCCACTTCCTCCATTTTAACAACCTCTCATTAAAGGCATTGGCATGCCTACTAAATAGCTGTTTTCCCAGACTGCCTTGCAGCTGGCTGACAGCATGTTCATCCAGTAGAAGCCACGTCAGCAGTGATTCCTGAGCCCTTTTTTCAACAGGACTGAATGCCTGTCCTCTTTCCAAACTTAAAAACAAATGTCATTTTCAGCCAGAACTGTGATTTGGGGGCTGTCAGAAAACTATGGGGACAGTGTCCCTAGAGGGAGAAATTACATGTGTGACGCCACCCTCTAAAAAGCATTGAGGAGATGTTTCTTCTTTTCTTACTAAGGACAAAATAATTATTTTTAAGGAGTGTTTCTTGTTTCTCAAAGGAAAACACTAAAATCTGGGTTTTACTCTGAAATGACCTGTTGGACATACTGTCAACGTCTTCCTCGAAGCTCAAGATAAACTCTGGTTTCCCTGCCCTTCCAAACAACCCAGTTTGCTGTTTGGAAACTGGGGAGAGGGCTGACAGGTGGCCCCAGAACCTCCAGCCCGGCCTTTACAGGAGCCAGGAGGCTTTGACACTGGGGGGGGGGGGAGGTCCCACTACTGTGAAGCTATGAAGATCATTACACTATGCCAAAGTTAGCACGGCTGTATTTGGCCTGCAGATATATTTAATTTGACTTCATATGTAGTTTTCTCCCATTTAAATTTAGCATATGTATTTAAAGGTCCGAGTTCATATAAACTCTCCATTTCTCTTAAAAACCTGAAAGGCCTGCAGCATGGTCCCACACCTGACAGTGACAACCACGGGCCAGAAATGCAAAGTTTCTGTCCACTTAGACGGGACACGGACTTAACAGCTCCTACCTGACTGGCCTGTCATGAAAGTCTCTGTAGCCCCACCTGCACACTGGCCTTGCACTAACGACAAAGATTCCAACTATCTTTGCAATAGGAAACAGCATCAAACAATGAAAAGGTAACTGAGCTGAGAATTCTAGGAAATGTTTTCTGGGGCCATAGAGTCGGTTCGGTGGGTAGAGAGAGGTGCTTACTATCAAGTCTGAAGGCCTGGATTTGATTCACAGGACACACAGGGTAGAAGGAGAAAACCAACTCCTACAAGTTGTCTCTGACTGCCGCAGGTGTGCACGCAAACACCAAATAGAATGATTAGCATTTTTTAAGTTTTCTGGCTACAGCTTATTGGCTGTGCCTCTGTGCTGCTTAAACAGGCTGCTCTGCCATGCAATTTTTTGCTGTGTTGTAGTAACCAATTAGCCAGAGAGCCAATGGGTTCGTTTTCCACAGGTTTATTTCTCACTTGCAGTCTGGCCCAACCGGACCAGGCAGAGGGACTTTGCTGTCCACATCTCCAGAACTGCCTGAGGCCTCACCCCCTTGAATACTACTAGGTGCCATGGTAAGGGGCAAAAGACTGGAGAATCAGTCACACCCAACACCCACTTTCACCCCACTTTCATTAGCCACAATGACATGACCTCAACTAATTAAGCGGCCTGGGAAACAATAATGGGGAACTTGGTAGATGCTATATCTTTACCGCAAGTGACCTCAAGTGCATTGTTCCTTTGCTTAACCTTGGTTGTGAATCTGTAACAGGAAGTTACATGGTACACAATGGTCCTCCTCCCTCTTGGGATTATGGGGAAAAGCAAGTGAAAGAATCCACGCAGGAACATCACTAGACACTTGAGAAGGCAAGGTTAAAGTGACTGCAGTGGAGTCAATATGCCTTCACTTGTATGCACACACCATCCCCTTATCACATGGGAGTCAGAGAGCAGACACTGGGGGCTGAAGGGCATGGCAGTGTCTTCATTTCTACAGCACCGTCCACTCCATCAGCGGGACCTACACTGATGGGAAAGGTATAAAGAAAACACCACTTACCTGCAACCTCTCCAGGGCCATTTTCAACTGTGATGCAATAATTAAATGCAGCACTTTGACAGGCATGCTATGTACGTAAGTCCAATAAACTCCCTGGCTCAGCACCCTGGACTCAGGTGGAATCACCCTCTAGTGTGCTATTGGGACCTTCAGAGGAGGAGGCAGGCATCTGCTTCCATCTTCCCTCAGACAGTGGGATGAAAATGAGGAGAGGATGAGAATGTCTGCACCCTTTCCTTTTCCCACCCTTTGTCCTGGATCCTCTGGACAGAACCTGGTTGCATGGTCACACCAAGTCTCACTGATGAAATTTGGGTGGTTGCCATGCTCTCCAGTCAGGAGGAAAACTAGAGAGGCAGGTGGTAAATCCTGCCATGTGCATAGTCCAAAATCAAATCCGTATTTGTTTAGAATTTCAGGCAAAAACAACATGGTTACCCCCACAGAACAGGCCAGCCTCCCAATCCTCAAGCTTTGCATCTTCCTGATCAAGTACAAACCTATCTCTAGTAAGTGCCCGCCTGCCTCGTCAGGTGAACCAACTGATGGAGGAAAGTCAAACGAACAACGGCACTTAATGAACTCATCCAAAGAAGCAGCAGCCTTTGGAGTGTTTCTTCCCCAAACAGCCTTGTCCTGTGGTAGAGTCTCCAGATGCTCCTGTGGTCAAGCGTCGCCTTCAGCAAGTCAGCATCCAAAGGTGTCACAAATGCCATGATTAAACGGGACCACACACCTAATGCTTTGTAAACTGCAGTTTTATATAAATATAAAGTTATGCACCTGCCTAGCTACACTCTTAATAAAGACCCTTATTTAATAAACAGACATTTAAAAAATGTCAACAATGGACAAATGTTTTCACAACATAATCTAAAGATTGCAACAAAATTCACAGTAGCTACAAAAGAATTCAGCTGCCTACAATAGGTTACATTTGGTTTACTCTATACTATATTGCTTTGTCTTAGGAGTTATCTTTAATACAAATGTGTGCTTTACAATATTCCCATTATAACAAGAAAAAATAGATTCATACAATGTTTCATAGGCATTTATTATGCCAAGTATTTAAACAATTACTCCCATTATTACATAAGAATAATATTCTTATTAAAAGGCAATATTTCATTAACCCACCGACCACTAAGAGATTTTAGATGGTTCTAGAGTGAATTGTGGCCACAAAAGACACACAGCAGCAGTAGTCCCTGGGGGGGAATCCACCACACAGCTACAAATATCCATTCACATCAAACAGACCTTGAATAAATGACTTATTACCAAGTAAAAACAAAATTTTAATAATCAGTTAACACAACTGTCCTAATTTAGCTTTCACTTGCTTATATACATCAAAGATAAGAAATTTTACCATAAAGAACACAAAGAAACCCTGTCTCGAAAAACCACAAAAAAAAACACTTTCTAATTCATACATAAACTAACATGTTCACCCTTACACTAAATCAAAACTTTCCTCTGAGAACAATGTACAGAAATACTCTGCAAACAGAGGCGAGAGACTGAAGGCCTCTTCCTACATTCTATGGATCAAAATGTAAAGATCCATCAGGTGGCAGACACACGAACTTGGGACATGTTGCCGTCACAGGACTGTCTAGACACAAACACCACCCCCAGCAAACTCTGACTGTCTCCAGCAACACCAGACTTTCTAACCCCATACGGCTTAAGGATGAAACCAGGTTTCCTTCTTCTAAATTATGCTTTTAAGAGAGAAAATTAACACAACACCCCACTGCAACACAGACTGAGCTCTAAAGATCAAGAATCTTGTCTGCTGTCCCCAGGGTTCATGGTACATAGGCTCCATCTTCACTCACGACGCCTGATCATCCCCAGCGTTCTGCAACAGAGAAAAACAACCCTTTAACAACAACATTACTTCACTTCACCGAGCAGTGCAACTCACAGGACCAGAGCTGGGGACACTGCACTTGCGGCAGCGCCAGCTCGGGCACTACACTGTTTTCATCACCTTATTGTTATTATTTTCATGCTAAAGACATGGACAAAAATAGAAGAAAACCTGTGGATTCCATCATCCACCCCGACATCCAGATCATCATATTAATCAAGGTGTCACCAGATATATAACCTGAAATATAATGTTAATATCATACCAGGTCCAAGGTTCAACAGCAAAGTCCTTCCTAACTTAAAACACTTCTGAAAATCATAAGGGGAAAGACTTATACAGTAAAACTAAAAGCCATCACAGTCGGGGGTAGTGACACACACACCTCTAATCCCAGCACTCAGAAGGTATAAGCAGGCAGATCTCTGTGAGTTCAAGGCCAGCCTGGTCTACACAGCAAGTTCCAGGCCAGCCAAGGGTACCCAGTGAGACACGTCTCAAAAAGACGAAAGGAAAAAAGAAAGGAAGGAAAGGAAGGGAAGGAAGGGAAGGAAGGAAGGAAGGAAGGAAGGAAAGAAAGAAAATCCTACAATAGTAAAGCATACACAACAAATGGACCATAGCATGGAACCACACAAAACTCTAACAGTGAATCAAGTCCCTATAAGATTGTTTGGCATGGAAAGGTGCTTTGTCACCACACTGGATGATCTCAGCTTGATCTCCATGACCCACATGAGGGAAGGAGAGAACCAGAGTTGTCCTCTGACCTCCACATGCATGCCCGTGCACACTCATGCCCCCACCCGTGTATGTGCATATACACCAATAAACAAGTGTCATTTAAAAAGACTATTTGTTTCCCCTACTTCTTATCTTCTGTAATGGGAAACTGAAGTAAAATGAAGAAAAGAAGGAATTTCTGGAGCACATCATGGTGTCTCCCCATTTAGCTATGTAGTGTAACTCTCAGACAGCATTTTTTAGAAATGCTGACCATGGCACCACGCCCACATCTGCTGAATAAGAAGCCTCACGGGTGAAGCCCAAGCATCTACTGTGACATGTTGGAGTTTGAGATCCACTGTCCTTTCTAACATTGCTACTAAGCCAAGCCTCACTGAGGGGATTCACAGAGAGGCCTAGTGGACTTTTCCAAGACATTTAACCAAACCTGTAACTATAACTACCCCATTATCCCACTGAACACCTTGATTTCAACCATCATACTGGAGAACTCTAAGGGGGCTGGAAAGATGACTCAGGATAAGAACACTGGCTGCTCTTTCAGAGAGTCGGAGCTCGATTCCTAGCACCACTCACAACCATCCATAGCTCCAGTCTCAGGACCTAACACCCTCAGCTTCTGCAGGCACCAGGCACAAATGTGGCACACACAGAGACACACATGTAGGCAAAGCACTCATACATGTACAAAATAAAATAAGGATAATTCCAAGAATAAAGAAATAAACCCTGTGTTCTGAATGGGGGGAATCAAAGTACTTTAAAGCAACGCTAATGATAAAGCCTTTTGAATTAGTTTGTTCTTATAAAACAAATCCCCAAACCATGCAATATACATTCTTCAAGAACTTTCATTTAAAGCAATCATAATTAATAAAAAGCAACTGAACTTGAGATGATCTATGAGATATGAGTGATTGTCAATGATATTTTATTTCTCTTTGTTTCAAAATAATTTTAATAATGAATGATACTTTTCTGAAATGTCCTACAAGCCCCCAAAGAGCAAGTAGAGTATATCTGTCGTCTCTTGCTGAAATAGGTAACTAATTACAAAGCATCTGGTGGACTGAGAAGATGGCTCAGTGGTTAAAAGCACTCATCACTCTTCAAGAGGACAGACAGTATGTTCCAGCACCCACATGGTGGCTCACAATCATCTCTAAGGCCAGTTTCATGGGATCCAATCAATGCCCTCTTCTGGCCTCTCTGGGGCACTGCACACATGTGGTGTACAGACACACAGGCAAACAGCCACACATAAAAAATTTAAAGTAATTTAAAAACAAGCACGTGTTAAAAAATAAACTCTACAGGAGCCAGACATTGTTGTATCAGTCACAGATCATATTTAAAAAACACTTACTTGTCTTAGGAACTGCTTTCCAAGATATGAGGTAGCCATGCTGGTTAAGTTCTTCTTATTGCCCACTTTACACCGGATATAACCATAAAGGTTGGCACCTTGCAGCACCACACCCATGATTACCACAGCCTGGGAGAGGGGGAGACAATCATAGTTACTAGTCCAAACCGACTTTTCTCTACGCCACTAAATGAGACAGGGTAGAGTGTGGAGAAAAGGAAGCACTGGAAGTCAGAGGCTGAAGCAATGAGACTCCTCAGCCTGCAGAAGGGACCTCACTGATGGTGGAGAAGACACCGGACCATTCAAGCGGCATCATTTGCATTCATATTTGTTTTAGTTACTTTTCTACTGCTGTGATAAAACAACATGACCAAGACAACAGGGCTTATTTTCGCTTATGGTTCCAGAGGGTTAGAGTTCATAATGGCAGGGCAGGGGCTCAGGCAGGCACAGCAGCTGGAGCATAGGCTGACGACTCACATCTTAAACCACAAGCACAAAGCAGAGAGCAAACTGGAAGCAAGGTGAGGTCTTAAGCTCTCCAAGTCTGCCCAGTGGCAGACTTCTTCCAGCAGGTCACAACTCTGGAGCCTTGCCAAACAGCACCACCAAGCATTCAAATACCTGGAGCATCTCATTTAAACCACTGCACTATCCATATCTGATGTAGGAGGGTCTTCTGCCTATGTGTTACTTTCATTGGTTAATAAAGAAACTGCCTTGGCCTTATGATAGGACAGCAGCTTAGATAGGCGGAGTAGACCGAACAGAATTCTGGGAGAAAGAAAGCAGAGTCAGGCAGGTGCCCAGGGTCCAGAAAGACTCATACACAATAAATACAGACATGTCCTGCTTGTGATGCTTTAACATTGGGGGAGAAGGAGGGAGATAGGAAGGGGGGAGAAAGGGAAGAAAAGAGAGAGAAAAAGAGAGATACCAAAGAGAGAGAGAAATGACTCATTCACATGGAAGTTAGGGTTTTTACTCTTGAATACTCACTAGCTTAAAACAAACTGGAGTAACATAATCAGTCATCCTTCACAGAAAGTCAGAGACATATTCTTTGTCATAAAAACATTAAAGAATAAACCTATAAGTTGTTTTTTAAAATTTCACTCCACAGTAGAATGTAGCCAACCAAGCAACAGAAGAAGCTGCAGTAAAAGGACATGTGAAGCGTCCATGTGAAAACAGTCAGGAAAGCACTTGCCAAGCACACATAAGGAGCTGATTCAGGTGCAGTGGCACACACTGTAATCAGGTGCAGAGAGCAGAGCCTGGCAGAACCGAGGTCCACTGGCCTGCCAGGCCTACTCAGTGAGCTCCAAGCTGCAACCCTGGGTGAAAAACAAAGCGGGCACCTGAAGTGTGCTCTATCTTCCACATGCACATGTGCGCACACCCATGTGCTGCTTTCACACAAATACATGCATACCCATAAGCAGATCAAGAGCAAAAAAAAAATCAGAGAAGTATTTCAGAGGAAATTATTATCAAATCTATCAAACAAAATAACATAATAACAAACAAAAATGGAAAAACTACAAAGACACGGGAATGTTTCTTTTCATCCACATCAAGTCTTTAAGTCAATAAACACATCTAAGTGTAGCATTCAGCGAGATACAGAGAAGCACTACAGCTAAAATACTATCCACAGGGGAGATCCATAACTGCTGACCCCACCACAGCAGCAAATCCACAGACGCTGAATACATCTCCTAATTTGTGAAAGGAGATTATGATGCAAATATATAAAGATGATTACTAAAGTAAAAACCAACAGCACTCACATCATAACAGGAAAAATATTAGTGTACAACAAACAAAACCAAGTTTTCACAGCAAGCCAGGGACAGGAGCCATAAAGTCTGGGGAGCAGGGGTCTAGCAAAAACCAAAATACATGAAGCCAGAGTGCATCAAATGCAATGAACTCAACTGTTACAGAGACTAGACTCGCAGTTTGGCTCAGGGGACAGACTGCATCCTTCAAATGCAGCAGCATCTATATTTGTTTCAGATGCTCTTCCACATCCTCCTAATTCCCAGAACAGAGATCCCGATTTCCAATGCCTTGAGCATGGTAAGTGGCGGCAACAGTGATAATGAGTTCAACCGGTGAGTCAGCCATGAGCTGGAGCACCCCAAGGGTTGCCCACTGCCATAGGTCAACACAAAGCCGACAGCTGTTCTAAGCTCCCAAGGTCTGGGATGCCTAGCAATGAGTAAGCACAAGAGGTACCAACCACAGTTTCCTTAAAAGACCACAACAACCACTGGCACCACAGAAACTGGCAGGCAGCTGTGCCCAGATACTCAGGGAAAAGCAGAGCTGGGGAGTGAAACTCAGAAACACAAGATGAAGCTGCCCAATCAGGACGGCCCGATGCACAGGTCACGTGATGACTCTTACTCACCAGCCACTTCACTTTGAAGGAGAAGAGCGCACTAAAGGCAAAGATCACCCACAGGATCGGACAGGCGATGAGTCCTAACCAAAAGATTCTTGACTCCGCTTCAGAAATAGTTTTGTTGTCTTGTGGAGTTGACTGCAAAAACAATTAATATGAAAGTCAATTCAACCACTAATCAGGTTTATCAGCAAAAGTTTCTTTTTAAACAGAAAACACACTGTGCTCAAATTCAAGATTAATAGAGACGATCCACATCCTTCTTGTTGGAACCAAAAACACCATGACAATCTTAATAAATGAATTATTTACTTTGTTGTGTGTTTGCAGCAGAACAGGAAGACATGGCCTTGCACTAGCACCGTTTATTCATAAGAAAGCACTGACGCTTTTCTAGGTCACAGTTAAGGAAATCCAAGCATCATCTAGATTTCATGTCTCAGCCAAACCCAGGAGCTGACTAGGATGATGAGTTGTTTCCACGGCAGATTTCATCTCAGTAATATACGCTCACTGAGCACAGTGCTGCTTTCTGAGAAGTATTGCTTGCAAAGGCTCTGCCAAGCGATACACAAGCAATTTGACTAGTAGTGTTGCCAAGATTTTTATCCTCTGTCTCCCAAAAGATTTCCACAAGGAAATAGAATGTTCACTATTAGGAAGCAGGGTGACCCAAAACAAACAGACTCCCCATGGCTCCTGAGGGCAGCAGCTTAAAGAATAGACCAATCATTCTGACCCTGTACCTAGCTGCAATCTTCCTGACAAATAGGAAATGACAATGGGAGCAAAGACATGGGAGGAAGTGTACACTGAACACAGAAGGATCCAGGGTGATGGCAGCAAGGCAACAAAGCCGGGGATCACCCAGAAGACTTTCAGCAGCAGGCAGACAGGCAGCTTAGCGTGGCCTGCTCTTAGAATATTGCCTGTGTATGCCTGTTACCAGACAGAAGCGCACTATGCTTTGGAGGCTGTCTGACTTAGTACTAACAGGGCAAGAGATCTGCAGTGGTGCTGCCAATCCTGACCCCTCCTTCAGTACTCAAATGAACCTGCACATTCTTTATCGTTTACCTTTCTGGACTCAAACACCCAGTGGCTCTTCCCATCCTCATCGATATGATTCCACCAACGTAGGCCAACCATTAGTCTACCAGTGACATTCTGGGAAAGATAAATATGAACACACATTTTAAAGCATTATTTAAATAATGCATTATAAATCCCATCTTAGTGTACTATTTCACAAAATTCTTCAGCTCTTCCCCCAGAACAGCCAATTAACCCCTATGTACCAGTCTTGGCTAAAGACTAAAACAAGTGGCCAATGCCAAGGCCAGGGTGCATGGAGCTCACAGGATAAGCAACAGGCATACCCAAAAGCACTATCCTTTCTTCTCCCTAAGACAGAGGACCTGTCCTTCCTCTAAACCTCTAATTCCTCCCTAGGTATTCCCTTCCTTCTTTCTATTTTTAATTTTTAAGATGAGGTCTGCCTTAGTACTACTATTGTTGTGATTAAAACCCATGACCAAAGGAATTCAAGGAGGACAGGGTTTATTCAGCTTACACTTCCACATCACAGTTCATCATCAAAGGAAGTCAGGGCAGGAACCTGGAGACAGGAGCTGATGCAGAGGCCATGGAGCAGTGCTGCTTACTGGCTTGCTCTCCATGGCTTCCTCAGCCTGCTTTCTTATAGATCCCAGGACCACTAGACGAGGGAAGGCACCACTCATAATGGGCTGGGCCCTCCCTGACAAATTACTAATTAAGATTGCTTCTAATCTTACACTGCCAAGTTTCTTTGTTGTGGACTATTACTTTAACTGCATAACGGTGTGTTGCATTTATTTATGCTACATTTGCTTAATGATGTAAAGATGTGTTGCTTTGCCTGCCTAAGGTGCCTGATTAGTCTAATAAAAAGCTCACCAGCCAAAAGCTAAACAGTAGAGGGATACGTGGGGCTGGCAGGCAAAGAGAGTAAATAGAAGAGAGAACAAGGGAGAAAGAGAGTGAAACACCTGGGCCCAGAGGGCCAGCGAGCCAGCGAGCCAGCGAGCCAGCCAGCCAGCCAGCCAGCCAGCCACAGAGGGAGCAGGGAAGTAGGACATACATTAGGAAAGAAAGGTAGAAGACCCCGAGGCAAAACGTAGATGAAGAGAAACGGGTTAATATAAATTTAAAAAACTAGCCAGAAATAAGCCTAAACTAAGGTCGAGTATTCCTGACTAATAATAAGTCTCTGTGTAATGATTTGGGAGCTGGTTGGTGGCCCGAAAGAGAGTCTGCTACATTTGAATTGGTCCGACGTTATCTGTGCCACTTTTATTTTATCTGACGGCACTGTTTTAGTCTAATCCTTTTGGTCAAGCTTTATTCTAGGCCCAATCTCAGAATTATCTTTAGAATGGGATTTTAATCAATATTTATTTCCTTAAAAGTATAATATTTACTACTGAAACAAAAGTGCCCTTACTTCCAACCCCACCTGTAAACACCAAAAATGCTTCAGACATTGAAACACACACACACACACACACACACAAACCTTTTTGGGTGGTGTTGGTGCATACCTTTAATTCCAGCACTTGGGAGGCAGAGGCAGGAGAATCTCTGAGTTTGAGGCCAGACTGGTTTACAGGGTGAGTTCCAAGACAGCCAGAGCTGCACAGGAAAAACAAAAACAAAACAAAACAGAAAAAAAATCCTATGGAGGCAAACTCGACCCTGGTTGAGAGAGACTGACCCCAAGTACCCTGCAGTTTTTGAAGAAAAAAAAAAAAGGATATTTCCTAAACACTTGTAAGCAAACTTTATTGGAACTTACATAGAAATTATACCCAGAATATTTAAATGACACTGGAATAAAATACGTAGAATCTATGGCTGCTAGTGACATCTTTGTAACTTCGCCCACGGCGCCACCACTGAGCAGAGTTCATGCGATCAAACACACCCAGCACTTTAACAACAGGAGGCCTAAAGTAACAGAAAATTAACACCAATGGAACCTACCTTCACTGCCCAAAAGTCACACGACAGCAACAAGATAATCGTCACCATACAGGCAATGAAGCTGCTGCTGAGCAGCTCACACAGGAGATAGACTACAACCGCACTGACTCGAAAGAACAGATGGAAGAAGGATGCCACTGGGTGTCTGGAAACCAAGACACAATAAGCAGCATTATATTTTACAGCAAATACTAGCAGACCCGTAACCATGCAATCAGGCAGGGCTGTCCTGGGAAGGAGAAAGCACACAGTCCACCTCTTCCTTAAGTCCCCACCACCTAACTAGGTTCTATTGTTGCAAGGAAATACATTACATGAATTGACTCTGACTCCTCACGGAGTATAAACTTTCAAAGCATCTAACCAGAACCACACCAGCTGAGATAATCTAATCACATCACGAGCCCAAACTAAGATGGAAGTTTCATCTCTCCCTTCCCTCCTCTTCCTCATCCTTTTTTTCCTCCTCCTTTGTTTAAGATAGGGTCTTACTAGGTAGCTCAGGCTGTCCTCAATTTCATAATCTTCCAGTTCTCACCTCTGAAATTACATGTATGCATCAGCATGTATGTATATATGCTTTTGTAAAACAGCTTATTGACATGGATTCAAATACCACACAATTTGTCTACAAATTAACATTTTTAATATAGTCAGTTGTGTGATCATCACCATAATCAATTTTACAACACTGTACTATGTCAAAAAGCAAGTCTGTACCCACGGGCAATCATCTTCTCTTGTTCCCAACCCTTTCAGCCCTAAGCAGCCAATCATCTTCCTGTCTCTACAGATTTACTCACTGTGGACATCTGTGTAAGGGAAATCACACAACACTTTGTCTCCTGTCACCAACACCTTCCACTTTGCAGTGTTTTCAATGTTCAAATAGAATTTTACTTTATTAAGTGAATTTTTTTAGAGAGAATATATTTACAAGTACATTGAATTTTATTACTTATACAAGACACAATTCTGAAATTTACAAAAGAAATCAAAATGTATCTATAGAAATAATAGTTTCCTTGGTTTTTGTCTTTCTTTTTTTAACTGAGAACTGAACCCAGGGCTTTACATTCTACTGCTGAGCTAAACCACACCCTCTACAGAAAATATATAAAGAGATGGTGCAGTCTCAGAAAACGGCAGTCAGCACAGACTTTAAAACATCAGTACTCACATAACTGATTTGTCAAGTTTGCTAATTTGAAAGCTCAGTGTTGAATAAGATTCAACAAGCCAACTACTACAAAGAAAATCTCATGTTACTTGTCAAATCAACAACACGCCTAGCCTACTCTGCCTTGGTATCCCCATGGGCTTCTTTTGAAGACCAGGCCCCGAGATGGCAGAAGTGGGGTGAGAGGTGCTGGAGACCTTAAAAGGTGGGCCTATCTAGATGGAGTGGGCCACTTAGGGCAGGTTATGGTTCTGTGTCTGTCTGCCATGAGGTGAGCAGTATTTCTCCACTAAACCCTTCTGCTAAAACATCACCGTGGGCCCAGAAGCAGAGCCAAAGAAAAACAGTGCCCATGCACTGAAATCCTCCCAAAACATTTAAAAGTATTTTTCTTTTCTCTTTGGTTCTGTCAGATGTTTTCTCATATCAAACAGTGGAACACGGAGCTGGGTATGGTAGCACACACCTTTAATCCCAGCAATAGAGGCAGAGGCAGGCATATCTCTGAGCCCAGATAAGCACAGATAAGACTACATAGTGAGGCTGTATCAAAAAAACCAAAAACAAATGAAAGTCAACACAAATCCCATAGGTTGACAGCAACAGTAGACAGAACAGATTAGACAGTGATGTGGGAGTGTCATATATCAATCTGTTGATTTCATTGGTTAAGCAATAAAGAAACTGCTTGACCCTGATAGGTTAAAACATAGGTGGGAGGAGTAAACAGAACAGAATGCTGGGAGGAAGAGGAAGTGAGCTCAGAGGCCATGCTCCCCTCTCCCGGGCAGACGCACGCGATGAAGCAAGCCGCCATGCTGAATCTTTCCAGGTAAGTGCACCTAGTGGTGCTATGCAGATTATTAGAAATGGGTTAGGCAAAATATGAGAATTAGCCCGTAAGAGGCTAGAGCTAGTGGGCCAAGCAGTGTTTAAAAGAATACAGTTTCCGTGTAATTATTTCGGGGCATAAACTAGCAGGCGGGGTGCTGGGGACGTAGCTCCGCCGCTCATATTACTACAAGATAGAAACACAACTCTAACTTAACCTTGTACCTGATTTTGGATTTTCTTGGTCTATTGGTTGTCTCCTCTTCTGCATCAAACAGTGAGACGTCTTCAGTGTCATCATTACTGTCCTATTAGGAAATTAAATATCTATGATAAAAATGAAATTTGGTGCTTCTATGCCTGCTACATACAAACCTACACAATCCTCAAAAGGGAAGATGAGATTATGAGCTACAACTACCAGGATCTCACAGCTTAGGAAAAGAAGCACCTGCAGGTCCTCCACCCCAATCCCAATAATCTGAAAACAAACAAACAAAAACCTCCCTATGACAGCCTAATAGTCAGCTGACATCAGCCTGAGCCCTGAAAGAATACTGAGCAGTTGATGCTCCTGAAAGCTGACATCTATTGGAAGCTACTCTCTTCCAATAGATGTCAGAGAAATCTGAAGCTATTGGGATAAACTCAGAAAACCTCATTGACTTCACCCGGTGTCCTTGACTCCTTGCAGTGCTTTCTCTTCTTATCAGAGGCTAAATCAACAACTACCCTGCCCCTAGGACTTGTTCCATCACTATCTTTCAACTCCGTCTTTCTAATCAATATATAAAATCCTTCACAGCAGTGACAATCCTAGAGGATGAATAACCCCAGAAGGCTCTCAACAACCCCAGACCACTGCTCAAAAGATGAAAACAAACGACCACCGGGTTTCTAAGATTCTTCTGTGAACTCCTGAGATGCACAACGGGGGGGGGGGGGGCTATCAACTAGAATGAAGAGAGAGAATTAAAATACAAGTATGCACAAGTGTTGGAGGAAAATGAATGGGGTGACATCAGAGATGGCATGTGGGGAGTTTACTGTTTTAAGATAATAGGAATTACAAGGGCAGCCCCTTGTACCCAGAATTCCAGCATTTGGAAGGCTGGATCAAGCTGATTACCATCAGCTGGAGATGGGTGAAGGAAAACAGAGCAGGAGAAACTAAAACACGTCTTTGTGCTAACAGGACCAAGCTTTTACAAGAGTAAAAAAAGTGTGTGTGGGGGGGGCATCAACAGTGCAACCACTGCTCTACACTTCCCAGTGAGCAAGGGTGAATGGGGGAGGGGACATCAACAGTGCAACCACTGCTCAACACTTCCCATTAAACAAGGACGAAGTTGCAGTAGTCGCAACTCAAAAATGGAGTAGCACACAATCCACAAGAGAACATGCGGGTGATTATGAGTGAAGATGCAGACAGGAAGGAAAGTAGTATGAAAAGTCCTCTGCTGCTTTTCCGTGAAACAGGAAGCAAGGTTATCAGACAAAAAAAAAAAAGGCAAGGAATATGTTCAAAGTTGCAGCAAAGTTGTAAGGTTGCCAGGGAAAGGGAAGGGAGAGACTACAAAAATGTCAAATGTCCAGCAGGTGGAAGTGTTGATCAACGGTTCACAGTCACAGACTTAACAGGAACAGTTGGCATGGCTGTCCTTCACCAGCACCCTTTAATCAGGGTGCACCCTCAGAGAGCAGAGTTGGAACCACCAATGGGTTTTCTCCACTACACATTTCCCCACAGGAAATGTCAGAATTTGTTCAGTCACAAATTCTGGCTGGCTCATCCTCACACACTCGGTATGTCACTAGCATGTCTTTACTATCATGTTCCGAAAATATGCTGTTCCCCAACCTAACCTCTCCCCTCCCCACACCTTTTGTGGATCCCACCTCCTCAAACACCCCAACCCAACCTCACACGGGGGCAAGAAACCTGTGTGGGGCACTCGTATTCTGGACCTGGAGCAGTTGCCTAAACCATAGTAATCCCGCAGCAAATTACTTGTAAAATTATACATATAATCTAAATGGGAGTTCACAGTCAACTCAAAGGGAGGAAATACTATATTGAGTTTACTAATCTCCAGCCGAAAGTCAACTGGCTACAAGGATCCCTACAGGCACAAACGTGACAACCATCGTGACTAACAGTGCATCAGCGTGGTAACACCTACTCGAAATTAAGGCTCTAGAACTCTCCTCTCCCTACAGGACAGCTCCTCACTTGAGTGTCTGGGCAGGAGAGCTGACGCCTGAAGGCCGCTCCTCCCCTCATTCGGGTGGGCTGCGGGGAACCCGGTCACCCCGACATCACACCCAGAGTTTCCTGCAACCAATGCCCCACCTGGCGACCCACCTCTACATAGCATCCCCAGCTCTGCGCCTCCTGGGTCCCCGGTCCACCCAGAACTCTCTAGCGACAACTGGCCGGAGCCCCGCACTTCTGCCCACCCAGCCTGCCCTTCGTCCAGCTCAGGCAGTGGGCATTCACAGAGACACAACAGCCTCAGAGGCTGGACAAGATCCCCCGGCCCCAACCCAAACGATCCCACCAGCTCCCGGAACCCGACCGCCCTCCCTCACCTGCGACAACATGACGGCCCCGCGCCAATCCCCCCCACTTCCGGGAGCCACGTCAGCCAGCGGCCACCCGGTCCGGTGGGAAACTGACGCGGGTTGGTTGCCACAGGACAGGAAGTCAATGTGCAGGGGCAACCGGAAGCCACTTGCCGGCAACACTTCCTTTACAGTGAGGCTCGTGGGCGGGAGCAACTCCCCGGACCGGAAGAGCAGTGGGCGGGTCCATGCCACAAAGAGCAGGGCACGTAATGGGAGGGGCGGGGAAAGAGGATCCAAATTACAGACGCGCGCGGTAGGGGGCGGAGCGTTTGGGCGGAGCCATGCCGCAGAGGCTCTGAAGAGAGCGAGGCAGAGATGGGCGGGGACCGGCGGGGGCGGGGCCGGGCAGCATCTCAAAGCTGAAGCTAACACCTGGGGATGCGTTAGCGAACAGTAGGTCCTGAAGGGAAGCTTTCATGAGTTATGAAGGAAAAATGGTTTTTGCTGCCTGTGAAGTGCAAACTGGGAGTCATTACCACCAGCGTGAATGCTCTGGAAAAGGCGGGCTTTATTCTACAACTTAACTTTGTAAATATATTTCCGTATAGCCTTACTTTTGCTTTTTACATTTTAGGAATACTTAAAAAATAAATATGTCCTTGGGAAGGAGTTAGAAAAAAGCCAGGAGGCTAACGCGAGCAGTGGGGGTACTACTGTAAAGGCAGAGATGGTCCCGTGTGTCCTAGCACTCGGGCACTTGGGTTTCCGCATCTGCCCCCTATATACCAATTACATAATCAATCTCTGTACATCTTTCCTCGGTTGTAAAATGGGAAGGACAATGATGGCTTCACAGAGCAGTTAGTCAAATGGCAGTCTTTTTAAAATTACTGTTTGAAGTCACCTACTGATGGTGTGATCCTGCCGAGATCTCAAATTCAGAGAATGTAAAGCCATCTTTGGAACTGCCATAGTAGCAGAATTCTGTTGCCCGACCTATGCCAGATTGTTGGAAGAGACTCTATTCACTGAAACCCAGATTTTGTCTGGCCCTTTGCCAGCACTATTTCAAACCTACTGCCAGAATAGTGAAGAAACACGAACGTAATTCCCAAAGGAGAGAAAGCTTGACAAGGTAGTCACATGCCTACCTGTGAAGGTGGACACATGACCTATGTCCTAACCTGCTTGGAGCATGTTTTTTGGTGGCCCGCCCTGTATTATGATTGTGTTTAGTTATCTTTTGGTTGTTTTCATTTTTTATGAATGCAAATCGAATTTGTTACCATATTTTTCAAATTTAGAACATTTAACAGGAAAGTGAATTTCTGACCTGTTTGGGGGGGGGTGTCTTTTCTTTTTGGAAGATTTGGGGAGTGTGTTTGTTTGCTTGCTTGAAATAGGGTGTAGCCTTGTAGTACCAACTAACTTAGATGCTCAGCCCTCCTGCCTTAGCCTCCCAAGAGCTGGGACTTAACGAAGGGGAATGTCTGACTGCTTCTTTATACGGGTCCTGAAGCCTTCAGTGAGCTACATCCCTGCTGGTGAGCTCCTCTTCCAAATTACCTATCTTGCCCCTGACGCCACTCCCTAATTATTTAGATAGGAGTCTCAATATACTTGATATTAGTGACTCTTTTGTTATCCAATATGAATGTGCTTCATCTTCATCAGATGGAGTCTGTTCTGACCAGTAAAATTAAATACAGTGTTCTAAATACAACTCAACCTTTTGAGCTCCCCACCCTCTTTACCAGAACTGAGCTTCATTCTATGCAAAAAAAATACTAGGAATTTCTATATACTATCCTGATAGTCACTTAAAAGTTTCTGGAAGCAATGCTAACCCTGAATTGGTGGTAATGAGTGGCATCTAACTGCCAGTGACCACCTCATCACAGGGATGCCTACATCTCCCTAAGTGGAAGGCAGATGGCACCCTCTCCCTGTCTCTTCCTGTCTTACTGTAATACTATCCATTCCTTGATTCCTAGAAAGGTTTGTGTGAATTGCCAAAGAAATATCAATAAATAAACCAATTAAATGGAAGAAAAGAAAGGTCCAGACACCAACGCTCACTTGGTTTTCTGTTTGCTGTAATAGTACTGTGATTTCTGAGGCCTGGTTTAGATAAATACATTTTGTCCAAGTTCAGGGGCCGCTGTTTTCCCTTGCTTCATGAAATTATCGATAGGCAGGCCTTTGATCTTACGAATCCACGCAGCTTTGCTGGCTTTACCTGGGTCGACGACTTTAGTGGATTCACTGGCTTGATATTCCTTCATCTTGGCTTCTCCATATTCTTTCTCCTCCTTCACAGTCAACAGCATGAACCCGGTGTTCATTCTAAGAGGATCCAGGGTTGTGTAGAAACGTGGCCGTTCTTTCTTGAGAGTCAGGGTAGCTGTGCCGCCACGAGGAGCGAGCATTCGGTTTGGTTTAATGACCTGCATGCTGGTCAGGGGGCCAGCACGGCGCATCGCCCCATCGATTGAACTGGTCAACTGCTCTTCACCCCTTAAACTATCAGACATTCTGGAACGGATAAGTCTGGGCTGGGGTATGGTGGACTGGACTCTGGGACTATGCAGGGATTGTTTCAAGTTGGGCTGCAGTTTCTGGATTTCAAGGGGAATATTGGTTTGTTTCACATCGGTAGGAAGGTTGCTGGATCGCAGCTGATCAACTGCATGTTGGACTGATTTTCCTTTGAAACTTAGGACTTTCCTTGGATATGGAATTGAAGGTCCCCAGGCATCAATGATTGCAGTTTGGGGTCGGTGGGGATACGCAAATTCTTCAGAATTGTGGGCTTGTTGCAAAGCATTGACAGTCAGAAGGAATCGGTCAGGTGTCATAGGGACTTTCCAGAACTTTTTCATTGGATGTCTGGTTTCCTCTACAGGACTTTCCACATCATCTGCTTCTTCAAAAAGAAAACAAAGGCACATGAGCATTCCACGGAAAAATAGGGACCGTCTATACGTAAAAGCCAAAACCATTCTAACTGCTAAGCACACTGTGTTTTTGTTGCCCAAAAAACATGTTGTGAAACATCCCAGATAACAACAGAAATGGTGGCAGCAGAAAGGGCTTATCTTTAATGACTATACTAATATCTGTGTAAGGTGTCATATTTTGAACACAGCCTATGTAATTCTAATAGTCCACACGGTTCAAAAAATTCCTGTAAGAATGACTCTCATATCTCATTCATGACTCCCATAAAAGAGGTCTTGCGGATTTATAGTATGTCGTCATCAATCATCCTACTGCAAAGGTCAATTCTCATTTAATTAACTAGCTTTGGTTATGGTCCCCCAGAATCAGGCCTGGATTCTAAGAATGTCACTCCTGCCTAATGCAATATATCACAGCATGGCTAAAACTTCCCAAAGAGAAGTCCCCAAAATGCTTTGACCAATAGCTATGAATCTGAGATATTCACAGAACAACAGAATCCTTTCTACAAACCACTTTACAGTCGAGGTATCTAAGGCTGTTAAGCTAACAAAGACGTCTTCTTGGATGATTCGACATCTTAGATCATCCCTAGCTGGCCTTTTTTTTTTGGTCCCTCCAGAAAAACAAGGCCCTGTTTTCAAAAATACCTGAGTCGAGGAAAGGTCAAGAAATCAGTTGCAATCTAAAACCTAACCCAGAGTTCTTCCAATGAAGGAGCAGCAGCCAGGTACGGTGCATATAATTTCCTTTGGCCATTGGGTGGTGTCCCAAAAGGGACAGACAGGGACGGATGAAACTCCCAAGTGTCCCTGCTCTTTGCTTTGCTAGTTAAACAGTGTTTCATAAAAACATAAACATCTGAGATATAATTAGCTTGTCAGAATCTTCTCCTCTCCTTCCAAATCCAGAAAACATAGATTTTTTTTTCTTTCTCATTATTCTGTGGGTTTTGTGGTGGTAGGTTTTTCTGGGGTTTGTTGTGGGTTTTTTTGTATGCTAGTATATCTTAGGTCTACAAGTCAGTACACATACAGATCTTCATGGTATGAATCTTGGTTATGTAATATGGATGGTGATGGGGTTGAGTTTACCATTGCTCACTTTGGTGGCCGTTTGGTTTATTAATGATCAACCTTAAGGAAATGTAAATACCATTTTTATACATTATGTAAGCAGGTATGAGGAGACAGGCAGTCCCCAGAGCTGGCTTGCATGTGGTAAGGGCGCTCACAGTGTTAATGGAGTATAAATTGATTCTGTGGTTTTTTTGTTCAACCATGACAGCGACTCTCTAGTGTTTAAGTGTATATGCCCTTTGGCTCAGCAGTTTTGTTCCTGGGACCTCACTTTGTGGTCCACCTGTATGTGTGCACAAATGCAGGGTGTCCACCTGTGTGTGCACAAATGCAGGGTGCCCATGGCTAGGATGGACCATTACATCTTCATTGTTTGACTCACTTTGAAACCCGTCTGTGAGGGAAATTTGTTTCAAAGGAACATTATTACTAGTCAAAAATATTATAAAAAAAAAACATTAGGCCGGGCGGTGGTGGCGCACGCCTTTAATCCCAGCACTCGGGAGGCAGAGGCAGGCGGATCTCTGTGAGTTCGAGGCCAGCCTGGTCTACAAGAGCTAGTTCCAGGACAGGAACCAAAAGCTACGGAGAAACCCTGTCTCGAAAATAAAAAAAAAAAAAGAAAAAACATTAGAAATGTTTGCCAGTGCCTTTCAAAATCATCAAAGAAGCATGCTAGCCATGGTATCTAATAGTACTTCTTAACAACTCATTCCTGTCATGCTCGCTCTCCTACATCCACTTATCTCACACTCATCTCCCACACATACTCACCACACCACACACACACACACCACACACATACACACCACACACATACACACACCCTCCAAATGTCACATACACATAAACAAACACTCCACACACTCACACACACCACACATACACACACCCTCCAAACACCACACACATAAACACTCCACAC